TATATATATATATATATTGATGCACTCTCTCAAGAAAGGTCATCAGATTTGATCCTCTTTTGCCGGAGATATCTTTCAAAAAACTGGTCGAAAAAAATTGATCGAAAATTTGTTCCGCGTGCCGGACTATTAGAGATGTGGTGAAAAATTTTTAATCTCCGAGCAAAACCGAAGGCAACTGTGATCTGCATGTATATTTACACAACAATCATTCATGTAATATTTTCATATGTACTCAAGTAGAACAATAACATTTATAAAATGTTTAGGAATGATTATTTTTGTTTTAAAACCATTTAATTTATTTTAAAAACATTTTTTTAAAAGGAATCGGTTAAATAACCATATTGTATAAACGTTTTAAAATCGTTGTTTTATAAGATAAAATATAAATGAAAAGAATAAATGAGTGGTAAAGGATCGCATTGGAATTATATATCATTTTAATGAAATAAAGACATGAATTTGTCAAATTACAATGTCTGGCTGTGTAGCAGATTATTGCACAAATTCATTTCCGAATTCGCCTCATTCGCGCTTTGTCTGTACTAACTCTTATTTGAGTTTACTAACTCTTATTACTCTATGGCCGCTATTTCATTTGCATTTTTGTCGTACAAATGTGTAGGACAGAGAAATCCTCGGATTTTTCTATCCTATAGCCAACAGAGTTAAAATTTGTCGTATAATAAAAAGGCATAAATAAAATGGTTATAATAGTCTTTTGGTATATCTTGTATTTGCAGCTACGTGCTCTAATTACAATATTCGTCTCTTTGAAAAAGATCAATCAGCGCTTTTCTAACTGCTCCTTCTGTATTAGTTGTTTACGTAAAAATTTATAGTCATATTTAGGTAATTTTTCATATAGAGACTGAGACAAATTGTTACAATTTTTGATTAGCAATTTTTTCCGTACTAATGTATACGTTTAAATTAATAAATACCTATGCATTGCTTCAAATACATTTTTAACTAAATAGTCAATTTTTTCTGGTTTATATCTATGTCTTTAAATACTGAAAATTAAGATTTTGTATCAGTAGA